AACATGTTTGAGTACAAGTTGGCAATTCAGTAGATGCTTTCACTCTTCACCCATAGGCTACTTATAAGAGATTATGGCCTTATGTTATTTATGTTTTGCAATATTTAGATCCTTTTCAATTGCGTCTGATACAATGATGTCAGTTTTTTTTTTAACCAGTAGCAGAGGTTTGAAGAATAAGAGAGTGCATCACTTTGGCACAACATAGGGATGAGCTGAGTTTTGGTTTGATTGTGTGAGCATGTTGGGATGGCTCAACGCTATCTATCAATGTCACGCAGGTTGCCATCGTATCACTGTTAGTGTCAGCACCAGCATGTGTCAGCTGGTATCACTCACTGGTATCTATGTCTGTGAGGCCTACACAATTTGACCCTGACCCTGTATCTCTCCTGTTCCCCACACTTCTGTCTCTTGTTTGTGTGTGTGTGTGTGTGTGTGTCAGTGTGTCAGTGTGTATTGTCAGCCCAAACCCCCATATTCCCTGGAATGTTGGTGGAATTTCGACTATTTTTCCAGGTCACTGTTGTTTGTGCTTTGCGAGGTGTGTCTGTAAATTCCCACACAGTGTAGGAGATAAACACACTCACACTGTCAGAGGCATATACAAACCTCATCACATTGCAGCCCACACCTTGTAGGGTGGAGAAGTCACCAAATCTAAATGTCCAGCACATACACTCTTTGTCCCAAAATCCTCGTGGTAGCTATCTGTGAGGGCTGAATATTCTGCTGGCCTATGATAAGTTTGACTTCTGGTCTTGCATAGAATGAGTTATATTACAAATAAATTATGGATGACAAATTGATGCTGTGTCAGGTCACATAGACCTATTACTCAAGAAAGATGAACTGAGGTTAATATGCAAGTGGTAGTATATGTCAGTAGGTAGAGTAATTATAGAAGCGCTGCTTTTACATGCAACAGTGAGTGAGCACTAAAATACTGCTTTGACATTGGAGTGGGATTGTGAGGAAAATCCCAGCTGTATTTTTGTCAGCAACTTGCCAGATCAAAGAATTTATATGGCAACCAACTGCCTATTGAACCAGTATTTTATGAAAAGAGACCTTCAGTTGCTGCTGTGATACTATAGGGCACCTACTATGATGGCTATCAAAATGTGTTGCTGGAAACCATCACTGGAAATGACAGAGTTAGGGGAGCAGGTAGTGAAGTTTGAGGGACAGGGAAAAAGAGATTGTGATGAATGGCTGACTTTTTTTTTTGCTTTAGATTTAAACAGATATGTGTTGTAATCTCCTTTCCCCTCAATGTAGATGCTACAGTTCATACTTTCACTCCCTGTTTGTTTTTACACCCGTTAGGTCTTGACAGGTCATGTAAATACTAGTCTGAGCTCCCTAATAAATCAGTGCCTCCTACAGTCTTCGCACCCAAACCTGTTCCCAACAAAGCTGCACCACCTAATACCTAGTGGTGAGCAGCCACCCCATAGAGAAAGAGTGAAAGGATGAAAGATGAATGGAGGAGTTGACACTCTTGGCAGCTAAAATGTAGGCCAGGGTTTAATGTAGCAGAGCAGATGTTCTTTATAAGTTCATCTCTTTGCTGGCAAGCCAGAAAAGAGCTTAGCTACATGTGCAAGCTATTAATATTTAGGGGGTGTCAGCAGCTGACAGATCACTGGTGGTCATTCATAGTGCTGAAGGTTCTTTATGACCCTTGACCTCGCCAGACTCCCCTTCTAACCTCTGGGCAAAAATGACCTAGGTTCTTCTGGTCCTAAGGGCTAAACTCATCCCACCACACACATCACATGCATTCTCTGGTCATGAACAGGGACTGACAGAGTAGGAAAGCCAGCTAACATGCTGAGGGTTTTACCAGACAGGTGATAGGAGATCTCAGGGAGTACTGAGGGGGTCCTCTCCTAGCCTGCAGGTATATAAATGTGAATATGTGTGCAAAACAGGTTTCATGGCTGACACCTGGACCACCCTGAGGTGAATGGTATTTGGGGAATTGTTGGTGGGCTCTCTGGCTTGATTTCCACAGACAGAAGCCTGTATCAGAGGCATGGAGGTGAAGGGAGGCGGTCAGTGTGATATGGCAGGTGGGACAAGTAATGATGATGAATTGTGGGCAGTGCGGTTCTTTCTGCTCAGATTAAGATCTGCTGATAAACATGCCTGCCAGGTCTGTAAGTAACCCTATACATTTCTCTCTCCCCTTCATCCATCCATTTGACTTGTTGTCTTCCTTCTCTGTCTCACACCTCTTCTTGTTTCTGTTTCTCAGTAGAAGCTGGATTTTAAATTTTAGATATTCTTGGACTCAACTCTCCCGAAGTCTAGGTCATGCCTCTCTACCTCTACGTTTAATGTGTGTATGTGTGTGTGTATGTACTGTATGTCTCTGTGTGTGTGCTCTTGCATGTGTGTGTTTATGTAACAGGAATGAAGTTCATCCTCTATTTGCAGGGTTGTTGTCATTTGGCAACCAGAGGGCCGACTGACATGCATTACAGCCTGGACACAAGGTTGATAAATTTACATAACTGTCAGTACCAAGACACTGTGAGAGAGGCAGAGAGAGAATATAGAACAAGCATTAAAAATGGGGACCCAGTTGAGAATAACCGTGATGATGTTCAATAGATGATTAGGAACATATGTGCTCTCTGAGTGGCTAATAGTCTAAAGATATTGCAATGTGTGTGTCAGCGTATTCAGTTGTACACAGCTGATGTTATACACCTAGACAGAAAATACTTATAATTCAGCTAGACCATAGTTGGATGGTAACTGCTTGCACCAGTGGTTTGGTTCTACTCATATTCTTTGTTAGCTTTATTATGGAATTCAAGGATAATTCTGGTTTATTACTAGTTGAGTCTTATTTTGTAGCTGTTGTTTTTAATGGTTACGGTAGCATTTTACCCACAAAGTTCATTTCTTAGATTTAAAAGCAGGGTCAACATTGCTAGAATTTAGCAATAAATATAAGCAGTAAAGAAGATCAGGAAAGTCATAAATAAGACAAACATTTAACCAGATTATCTTAGCCAACTAGGCTACAGCTCCCCCGTGATCCTATTCAGGTATAAGTGCTATAAATAATGGATCAATGGATGTATCTCAGCCAACTGCCAAATCAAAAGTGAGGGTACCCACAATGTTGGTAATAATCAATCATTACGAAGGAAAACTGAGCGAGCGCACCTACTGCAAGCACTGCAGGTCAAAGATAAACCATAGAGTCAGCCGGTAAAATATGATGAATGTTTACAAAGGTTGGGGATATTTTTTTCACCTGTTTTTTCCTTTCCAAATAATTTTGGTTAACCTGGAGTATTGCTTTAAAACCATATACTCTAGACTTCTGTTGTTAGTGCTAAAGCATTCCTAGGTCTCAGCACCTAATTTGATGACTTCCATTTAAAAAAAAAAATACAAGTTGTAATACAAGTTATAAAAGGCATAATTATCCTTTAAACCTCTTGTGTTACTTGCTGTCATTTCTGTGCCCTGACTCCATACAGTCTCACTGACTTTGAGCAGCACCTCCTTAGCTAATTTAGTTCAGTAACCTCGCTCTCATCAACACTCTCACATATCAGCCTTCCACATAGTGACCAGCACTGCGTTTAGGAGGTGCGCTCCAGCCTGTCCTTGAGAATCACTGCTCGGATAGATAAATCCACGCACAATAATTAGTCCATAAAATAACACATGAATGCAGCTCATGAGTCTTGATAAATAAAAAAAGAAACCTTCACATGCCCCAGTGATGTTATAGGCAGCTGTCACTGACAGCAGGTAAAGTGCAGGGCTCACATTAGGGAGTAGAAATGATATAATTCACTATTAGGGGTGTGTGATATCATATTACATAACTCTTTGGGCCATAAATTTGAAACTATACCTCTATGTATATGTTATATGTTGATTGTACAATGACCGCCAGATGCAGTGGCATAAAACACGAGCCAAATCATTTAAAACGTACACGCGTGGTGCATACAGAAATATGGATGCAGGCACCACAGTCTACAGGGCAGGTGCTTAACACTTCTTGTGTCATGGAACTGATGTGTCCATTCAAGTCTGAACATGGCTACAACCTGTCCCAAGTCTGGGCATTGAGAGATGATGTCATCACCAGTAGACATTGACCGACACAGTATGTAGTGTTAGAATCTTACAAGAAATTGTTAAAACAGCAATGAAACTGTACTGTATAATTGTGTCTTCATACAGTTGTGTTTGCACACTACATTTTCATTTGTCATGATTTGATTCCTGTGTACAATATCCATTTGAATTCATGTTGTCAGGAGTCTCAGGGCTCCAATATGCCATAGACTGAATTGGACTGAGAGTCTGGAGCAGAGGGGGCTGAGGCTGGAAAGATTGCTGGAAAATTCCCTTTGATAAGCCGGCCAAGACGCCTTTGATTAAATGTGGTCCTAGCAGGAGCTCACACTAGGTCCTCTGTGGCACCACCATATTCAATCACCAGCTATCAACAACCCTGGGTAATTACAGTCATCTAGTCATTAGCCTGAGACCCACCTGGAATTCCACATAGCGAGGGGTGGATGAACGAGGCCAGCAGGGGTTGAGGTTTAGGCTGGGCCTTTAATCAAACACTTCCCTCCCCTTGACTGATATAACACACACCCACCCTAATCCACACAGACACAGCCTTTGTTATGGACACAGATAGTACTGTTACTGCCACAATGTCTCTCAGCTCGTGCTGGTGAGGAGCAGTGATGGTGTGTGTGTGTATTTGTGTATGTGAAGGGAGTACAAGGCAGGTTATGGCAACAGTACAAATGAACTTAGTCACCGTCCTGTTCGATCACACTGATAATTTCTTCTCTCTCTGCACTATCTAGTCTCTTTCTAGTCTTCAACATATACTGTATGTGTGTCTGTCTGAACAAAAATGAAGATTCCAGTATCATACAATGCACCATATATTTTATGTGAACATTTGTTTAGATAAGGCAATATACACTGTCTTACAGAAGCAAGCTGGGGAGAAGAGAAATGATATTTGTCCAATACTATGGTTACATGCGACTGAATGAACATCCAAGACTGCTGCTTCTTTTTCTTCTTCTTCTTCTTCTTCTTCTTCTTCTCATCGGCAGTTCGTCATCTTAACCACTGAATACCATGTAGTCACAATAATTTTGGTGCTGTTCTCTCTTCTCCTCTTGTCAACCAATGTAGTGCAGTCTCATCCATAGATGACAAATGAAACAACACTTTACAGTTTAAATAAATCACTTTTAAACAGCTTTTTTTTTTAACAATTGTATTTAAAGTTCCAGTGACACATCTGTCCATTTACTCATCTGGTGTCCATCTCTATGTCCTCTGGTAGTCCTGTGCCTGGACTTCTGTTTGGCCACAAAGAGCCAAACTTGCTTAGATGTTCATTTCTCACAGTGCACTTGTCAAGCTACTTCTCTAAGTCCCACCAAGTATTATTTTTGGTAGATAAAAGTGTATTTCCCCAAAATAAGAAAGAACATTATGTAAGTATATGATGGAGTAATAATACTGGATATGTTTGTAGGCTCAGTTAATGTAAAAATTTGTCTTGAAAGTATCATCAAAGCAGCAAACCATTTTAAGCCCAGAACCACTTGCTAGAAAAACAGTCTGGACTGAATCTTTGATAAAAGCCTAATCCACCCAAACTTCAAACTGGTTTCACTGTTTATCATCTGATCTCAGCAGTTTAGCCACAAGGTCATTCGCAAACGGGGGCTGATGGTTATTAACTCATATTGATGGGTACTGAATTCTAGTGCTTTCACAGAGACAGTTAGAAAAGCCATGCAATGATAAACCGAGATGGGGGCAGGGGAGGGCGGAGACACAGAGCACTTTCGGTCAGACTTTCCCAGAATGCCATGTTCCACAGGATGTCCTGCAAAGGGGAAAGGGGCGGGGTTGCAATACAGCAGGCAGAGGGATGTGCCCTCAGGTCTGGTCCAACCAGTCAGCTCGTTTGGGGGCCTTGCATGTGTGTATGTCCACAACCTCCTCACAGTCCTTACACTCCACAGCACAGCACCATTTGAATTTGCACTCGCACTTGGTGATTTGTGTAACTCTCATGGTGTCATAGCCCCGTCCACAGCACATGACCTCACAACCATCTGTGCCACGTGATGTCTTATTGCAGACCCTTCCGGCAGTACCCAGGGAACCTGCACAGAGTACAATAGAAGCAGTTAATGAAAGCTAAAAGTTAAAACTAGTTAGGGTAAAGCAAAATCTGTGATTTGTTTCTAAACACATTATCAATGTTAGAAAAGAGTTGCTGGAAACATGTTAAAAGACTGAGAACTATGTAGTGCTGAAATATGGAGTTAGACCGTTTCATCATTTCTGAGTTCAGGATTAATGCTGCTGTCTCAGTATTAAACAATGACAAAAGTAGGAATGCATGAATGGTGAATGTATTGTAGTGGGTCTGAACCGACCCTAGTTGTTGGAGGGATAGAGATGTGAGGGAGCTAATGGCCACACAGCGGACAGTTAAATTTTTGCTTATCTGACAATTACAGTTTGAAATATGTAATATGAACGTGGCATTAACCCATGAAGCCTTGGACTTGTGGGAAATTGTGCTCATAGTTTGTGTTATTACAGGCATTGCTAGTTCCCGCTGAGTTGTCTTATTGTTCTTCTAGAACTGAACCCAGAGGTTTTAGTTTCACTTTAGATCTATAAGTGATTCAGGGTATGATCGGCAGTAGCATCCTCTTTACCGGTGTTGGGTGTATCATAGCGTTTAGCAGTCTGGGTATTATCTAATGCAGTGGCATGCTGTCTCTGTCTTATGTGAGTCATCCACACAAAGATTAGTGCTGGCGTTTGGTGTGAGAAGATCCCTGTTTGAACTGTTACCTATCACAACAAGCTGCCCGAGAACAACAGACCCACATACACAACTATGCAGTGTTGGTAGAATGGCCTATAGTTACACTGCCTTTCCCAAGCTAGTGCTCCCTTTGAAGCCCCTGTGTGCGTGTGTGTGTGAGTGTGTGTTAAATGGACAGTGGAGCGTGACAGACAGGCTCTCACACTCTGACGCCCATTCTGCCCTCCAGCTACGCTTAGTTCGGACAGACAAGAGAGTGAGAGACTTGACAGACAAAAGTGATTTTTTTTTTTTTAATTAGCTGCTTGTGTCCCTAGGCTGTGGATTCCAGTGGGAAGGTGAAAAAGAGGAGGACAGACGAAGGGATGAAGGGTGAGGCAAGACAAAAGGAGCGAGGAAGAGGGAGAGGTGGACTGAGCTTCTGAATGATAGAGGTGTTAATGTCAAATTTCCCAAACGTTTGTTTAACAGTGTTTCCAGCCATCAACCAGCCAGTCAGAAACGGTCAACTGATTACATCCATTGTGTATAGGTTGATCAATACATTCTCTGATCATGGGGTTGTATATATGTATGTATATATCTATCTCTGTGTGTTGACAGAGGCCGACAGAGGTCAGGCAGTCTCACAACAGCCATGTCCCCAGGGTATAAGGATATTAGCTTCTACAGACATCACACGGGGGGCCTGCTGTGTTATGTGACTGCCATTACACACACACCCTGATATTCACACACACAAACACAGTAGTCATGCATGAACATACACATAACACATCGAGACAATCCATCAACATCCATGAGAAACTGCCTGTCTTTGTGTCTTTCATCTCCTTCTCTTGCTGCCGATCTTACCTGCTGCCTTGTCTTGTAGGCAATAGTCCGGAGAGTTCTCAAAGTAGACCAAGTCATTCTTGGTGGCCTTCCTGAAGGCTTTGTTGGCTACGCCTAAGCCCATCCCATCCTGATTCATTGTCACTTCAATGGCCCCATTGTATTTCCTCCTCAGGTAGTCACCGGTCTTTCTGAAGTCTGACATGGCCATCCAACATGTCCGCAGCGTGCAAGACCCACTCACTCCGTGACATTTACACTCCAGTTTCATGAATCGTTTCACTGCCTGAATAGAGAGAAGTTGGGGTTGTGTGTATGTTGTTTCAACCATCATTAAATTAGATTTTCCATGTTCTAAAAATACAACACTAAGGCAGGAATGTTTCTTAAAGGATTGTTTTACCTATATTAGATGAATCAAGGTGACTCTCAAGTGGTGTGGAGTCTTGTGGATAGTTTTGGGGTATACTTGCCAAGGTTTTGAGTTGTCTGCTGTTTATATTTCACCTCCAGTTAATTACTATTAGCCTATAATTTAATTTGGGGTAGCAACAGAAATCACAGATGTCATTTGAACTTTGTAGTAACATGTGATGCCCATCTATTTGCCTTTTCTGTATAAAAAATGTGTTAATGTCAGATATAAATGCACTAAGACAATCACTTCTTCAAAAATCTAAATGCAACCCATGTAGCCTCTCCTCAAATATGATATAGCTGCAATCACACCAACTTTGACTCTCCATTCATTTTGGTGAGGACTGGGGAAAGAAGCATTTACTGCAGGAGGTGAACTGACCCCACCTCCTTTGCTTGGCATACAGGATAATCAGATTGAATTTGGACATTTGAAATCACAAAGCTCCCCAGGGTCAAACCAGTTTAATTTTCATCCTCTTAGTGTACTTGTCATGCTAACTTCTATAGTCTGTGCTTACCACTCTGCCCATGCTACTTTCCTGTCTTTCCTGATTTTTGCCTCAGCATGTTTGTGGTGGGTCCATGACAAGTTGATAGCTGTGTTTTACAAAGTCAGTAAAGAGAAGGCTATTGTCTTTTAAGAAGACCCTCTGCTAAACTTCTAGACATGGCCTGTTAATACCTTTGAACTTAACAATTTTGAACTTAAGACGTTATTACAAATTACGTATTTAATCCTCTCCTATGTTTGAACAGTAATTTGATTTTTAAACAAAAAAAATAACACCCCTAAAAGTAACTTGGAATGCAATTGGGGTTGCTGTCAGATTGGCTAGACTCCCAGCAAAGTGTGAATGCAGTCTTTAACACGCTGAAAGTCATGCTTCACCTATCCAATGTACATATAACATATAGAGGTCATGATCATGAGAACACTTCCAAAACCAAGTGCAAATGCAAAAGCCCATGACCATTATCTGTATAATGTTGACAGATATCAGTTTCGTGTCAATACCAGATTTAAATTGGGTTAAAATTAAGATTAATCAGAACTTGAGCAAATAAAACAAAAACTACATAACTAGGTATAACACTAGATGTAACCAAATATGTTTCATTATTTGGGTGAATTGATGTTGCTGTAATCACACACTTACTGTTCTGCCACAGCGGTTGTTGTGTAGGTTCATGCGTGCCCTTGCATCTCGGACAGTCCTCTCTTTGGCATCTATGAAGGCTTTGGCAAACTTTATCCCATAGTTGATATTATCACTACAGCCGCCCCAGTCAAACTCTCCTCTATTATCACTAGCTCGTCCACGCTTTTGTGGGTCACAGTTGCATGTCTTCAGCTCTCCCTGGCTGCAGGCACGAGTAAGCGCATACACCACTCCAGCAGAGGAGATAGCGTAGACAAAGGCTGCTTCACGACTGCCTGAGAAAGAGAGACAAAGCACAAAAAAAAAAACATATTATATCATAAATCATATCATTATATAGCTTCTCCAAGACCTAAAGTCTTGAGTTCATGTGTTAACATGCACACACAGATGCATATAATTCCATGACCAGGCCTGGGTGTGAGCCATCGGGACATAAAGGTGCAGCTGACGGGGGCATATCAGGCCTGATGTGGAGTATAGGACAGCTCTGGTTAAATATTATCATGGAAATAATCCTAGCTGTGGGGCTCTCCTCTGCTCACATAAATTGTTTAAATACAGACACAGTGATACCCCATTAATCAGAGGCAGGGTGATGTCATGAAAGCATTATCTACCAGTGCTGTGCTCATCTTTTCCCCCCCAGTCTCTTTAGTTCCTTATAATATGATTCATTTATTGTGTGGCCAAAGACACACAGTGAATTAGACATAGTGTTTGGTCACAGTTCCTTTTTTAGTGCCTGAGGGACTGAATGTCCCAAAAAAGCAACATGGCAGCAATCAAAATAGGAACCTGTCCACCTTACATTACATGGGCACCATAATGGACATAGGTGGTTTCCACTCTGTAATCAAAGTACTCAAATCCTATTGTCCTGTTGTCCTAAAATAACAGAATATGTATGTAATTTGGTAAAGATTTTCATGGGTTCTAATTATTCAGGTCACCCCTGGCCCTGTGACTAATCATCTGGAACCAATGCTTTGGTCAAAATGCAGTGGTTTAATTTCAATGAAATGTTCTGTCACAATTCATGGTTCTCAGAGGACGAATCCAGATGTGTTTCCTCCAAGAGGCCAGATGTTTTACATAGCCAGAAAAACATAAAAATCAAATCTTGAATAAATTAGTTGCCCACAAAGGTAGTGCATTCATGATCCCCACATGATGAACACAGTCTGTTTTAGATCATGTTTGACCATCCTCCACTCTGTCTACTCTGCATGCACAGTATCTCAGTGTGTAATGGGCTCATTGCTCTCAAATCTTTAATCACACTTGCTATATTACTAGTTGTGATGAAGGGCACATTTATATCTGAAACTTAGGTTCACACACATTCTGCAAACCTATCTGAACCAGTCCTGAGTCAGGGCATCAATCAAGCCTGCACTGTTTGTCTGACAGTGAGAATATCTCTCTAAATATTTACATCTACATTAGTGTTTATTCCTCTCTCACACACACACATACACACTGCCTGTATCTCCATATCTGCTACTTTCTTCGTGCATCGTTGACCCCCACACAGGCTTAGGGTGCCTGCTAGTGTGGGACAAGGAAAGTCAGTGACATGAGACACCAAGTTTATGGAGACAGTCCTCTTATTTTATGCAACCTGGATCCAGATACACTGTTGTGAATGAAGGAGTTGCTATTATGCCTTGCTCAAATGAAACAAAGTAGAAAAAGAATATTCCTAAAGATGCAGTATCACAGACTCTTTACAGTATGTGTTGCACTGCATGCACCGTGAGTTATCGGTGGATTACTGCATCTACACTCTGCATTCAAGATGTGGCAGTAATGGTCTACACTGGCACTGAAAAATACTGTAAATGCATGATGGGTAACTTATCATTTATTCTTTTATGCAAAATTACCAGCTGACTTCAAGACACCCATATAGCTTGGCTATCCTGTGCTTTTAATGAAGAGTCCCTGTTATTGTGTTATTTATTACATGTTCATGACTCAGACTGTCTGCAGTCATAACCCCCTTCATAACGGGGAACATGCACTGGTTAAAAAGGGAGAAAGATGCATTTGCATCTGTGTGCATATGCGTGAATGTGCTGCAAAGGTCTGACGGGAGTGGAAAAGTAAAACGATAACAAACCTATGTCTTGAAGCTGGCATGTTTATTGACAAGGCATAAGGCATTACAACAGTCCATTAGTGACTATAAACACGGAGAACCAGCATATGAGACAGAAAGATCAGGGAAAGAACAGAACGAGGTGAGAGGGACAAAGTGGCAGAAGGAGAGATAAGGCAGTTAAAGTGAAAAAGGGGTGAGAATGAGTTGTGACTTAGCAGATGGGGCACAGCTTTCATACTCTTTGGCCACATAGTCAGTTGTCGGACAGACACACATTACATGTAGACACACGTGGACTTACTCCGTAGCAGAACACGTCCAAAAACAGTGTGGTCACGATCCAGTGTGCTGCAGTTCCAGCGATGGTGTCTGAACTGGTGCTGGCACTCTCTGATCCACTCCTTGGTGCCTTCTCCAATGGCCTGCATGATGTCTGGGTGGCGCTGGCAGAGTTGCCGCTGCTTGTTCACCAAACCTGGGATGTTGTCACAGATCACACGGGCCCCAAGTGCCCCAATGTACCTATAAATACCAAAAACAAGAAAATTCCAAGTGGTTTTGATCTGAATCAACAGAAATTTCTTATTCATAAACATGATCTGAACTAGACTGGCATACAGTATATTGCAGTAATTGATGCTATATTGCATTTTAATCCACAGGTGGGTCCCCTCATATATATACTCAAGTGTACACATAAGATGTGAGTGCAGGAGGGCTGCAGTAACAACCTTCTGTGAGTCAGAGTTCACTACACTTAACAGTTTAAGGTTTGTGAGGAGGAGGGGAGTGGAAACCATTTACTCCACTCTCCAAATAAATAAGCACTTAACCTCTCCCCACAAGACTGGTGTGTGTATGTGTGTTTAAATGTCTCCCAATGGGACAGTTGAAATCATATCGTCACAAATCAGAGCAAAAACTTCTGGTGCTTCCAATAACCCTGTCAAACTAAGACCCCATTTACTTGACTCCTCTCTGTCTTCTTCCAGGTCACTCTCATCTTACTCACAGTTTTCGTGTGTGCTTCTTTCAGTCTTTCTCCCTGTCCTAATAAAACGGACTTTTACAGTATCCTATTAAGATAAATGCTGCAGTGAGATTTTCCAAAATAAACTCTAAACCTCATCATGACATGCATCTATGTGCGTGTGCATGAGACCTCTTGCAGCTTGGTGGCTGCAGGGTTTGGCAGGTCATTGAGGAGAGGTCAGGGGAGTGTATGGCTGTGTGGTCGTGTTTTACAAGAAGGGGTGAATGGATTGAGACTGGAGGTTCTCTATTCCCTAAAGTGGCATTAGGGAAGAAGAACAGAGTGCTCACCAAAGGAAAGAACGGTTCACACTTAATTTTCACTCTCTGAAAGTCAGAAGGCTTTGTGGATTTTATAGGATAATAAGTCATTATCCACTGGTCTAAACAACATGCTTTCAAGCCCTTCTGCTCATCAAAGAAACTTCTACTTTATACTTGATCATTTTCTTGAGCATTATCAGTAAGAAATTGTTTCACCGCATAGTTTTTGGATTTCAAAGATCCACATACTAAATAAATTAATGGTTATCAAAAAAAGCTGCTTTCCTATTACAGATGAAAAACTCAAAAAGGAAACTTGGCCACAACAAATATCATTACGCACACATTTTTCCTGTTCAAATTATTACCTTTAAGGAATAGTTGAATGCTATGGATAGTAATTATTTCACATTTATCAAAATGATAAAAACAAATGCATTATAAGTTAAATGTATTCACATTACATCATAAGTATTATTTTCCCCGCATTAGTGGCTAGAACATCACAATTATTTTGGCATCCACCTGCAGTCTTAAAGCCCATATCATCACTTTCTGAACACCCAGAAACAGTTAAACACTGTATATCCTACACTAAATTCCCTTCAAAGCCAACAATTCCCAGCCAAAGCCTTTACACACACTCTTCCCACTACTTCCCATAACTGCTTTTAATCTGTACGCAAACTATTAGGCATTCCATCACTGGCATACCCACCCACACACAGACACTTCTCCTGTAAACACACACACGCACACAGACTTTTTCACCTATGTTGCCGCACAGGCAATGAGATGTTTGTTCGCCCATAGATGGCTGGTTTGGGGGTATTTTCGTGAAGGCATTTGTGCGTGTGTGTATGTGTGGTACGTGATGAATTAATGACCGTACTGCCTTGTCTAATTCAGGCTCCAGCTGAGCTGAACACGCGCTCAGCCAACGGCGCAGGCATAAATTACATTTATCGCTGTATTATTGCTCAGTATGGCTGGTAAGAAGAAAATGCATTATAGAAACAAAATCCTATAGTTTGAACTCAATTTGCAACCCTATAATTTAGGTTATTTTAATGCCCTGTTCTGTTTCTTTTCTCGGTTCTTAAGGAAAAATCAATCGGAATTAAATTAAGTGACGACAGGAAACATCGTTTTCCTTTGCAGTCATTACCTCATACAATTACGAAATAGTGGCTTCATTCCTGATTATTGGAAGCAAAAATTAAATGCACAAAAATGCAAAAGAAAAACAAGATTTTAAATGCTGTCAGCAACGCTGCACTGCGACTTTGATGGGAAGGTACTGTCTGTTATATGTCTGTGTAATAGATGAACTGATACTGATGCTTTTGGGAAAGCGCTGCTTCGAACTACTTGAAATTTGTTTTGTTTTTGCACTTAGAAAATGGTTATTAAGAGTCATCATAAGTTAAAATCGTTGAATTACTTAAGTTTCTTTCGAAAGACCCCAATCCAGGCAGCAGTTCCAGCACCGTTTCAAATGATTAAGATCAATGATGTAATCGTGGCATTCCTTACCTTCCTTTTCTGCTTAGACTCTTCATTTAATTTTAGTTAATAAGAGGAAAAACAAGAAACGTTCTTTCCATAAATGTACTTAATAGTGTGTTCCAAAAGAAACTATACAAATTAAGATTTTATAAATCTTGTTGGCAGGAAGGTTGGCCTGTAGGTGTGATGGATGCAGGCTCACCACCATGAAGAGTCAGCTCGAGGTGTTACCAACAGCAGCAGCAACATGCACGCACAGTAAATCCTCGAAGTGGCACCGGGGTTTTGGCATGAAGAAGATCGGGATGAGAGTCTGATTCCCGGAGAACCACAGCTCCGAATGTGCGCTGCCCGGATACTCACAATCCTGTTTAATCCCAGCATGGTTCTGCGATTTTTTTAAGCAACAACAAAAAAAAAAAAATCCCCAAAAGTCAGATTTCAAGAAAATGCTAAATTTCAATAGATGAAGTTTTATATGAAGTAGTAAAGATTAAGCATTCGTTCTGTAGGTAGGCCTCATTATCCAGTGTGGCTCCATGTTACGCGGCTGTCAAGAGTGTGAGGAGCGCGTTTTCGGTGCCATGTGCGCACCAGACTCCACTGAGCACTTCTGGCTGCCGGCAGGAAGTTTACCTGACGAGGCTTGCAACAAGTGCCGGCTGTTTCACGTCCTCACTTCTCCACTCGGATCTCCAAACACTTATCCTTGTTTTTGGCTCAGTTCGAAGGCATAAAAGGTTCGAATGAAAACGGGAGCCAAAGATTGGTAGACATTCGAGTGGCTGTGGTTCTGTCACTTCTTTGACTCTGTGCTGGCTCGGATGCTCGTAGCGGACCTCTCCTTTATCAGTGCGCGGCGGAGAGCTGAGAGAGAGAGATGAGGGAGGGCTCGCCGCTGACAGCTCCTCTCGCCCATTGGGCAAATGTGGGGGCTGTAGAGTTTAACTAGGAGAGAGATAATAATGGAAAGTGCGTATTTGTAAGTGCTGGTGTAGGTTGAGGGGTAACGATGTCACTGTGGTGGAGACGGTCCTAATGTGGGAAATTCATCTGTAACCACAAACAGAAATTTTTGTAATAAATAATGGCACCCTCATTTTACAGCCCAACAAAACCACATAATTAAATCACAAGAAAATGTGATTTTTCCCCCCTAATTTTTTAAATATAAATTTACAACCTAGAGATTGATTCCATTATTATAGTTTGCCTTATAAACACATACACATACTGGAAAATACTGTCACCCCTGTATTCCTGTCAGATAACACACCACTTCTCCATAAAATTGTTGCAATCACTTATTCTTTGGTATTCTCTTATTTATTTATTTATTTATTGCATTGGAACAACACAAAAAAGCAGAGGAAACAAGCCAGATCTGATACTTTCCACACAGAACTCCAGAAATGGACAAGGCAGAATTACTGACACCTTTTCAAAATCATCAGAAATAGTTGTATTTCAAGCATGTGATGCTTCTCTAACTTGTAATGAAACTCACCTGTAGCAACCAACAGATGCTGGCAATCTAGAAATCACATTTGCAACCGGTTAAAATGGAGAAATGCTGACTCAGGCTTTGTGTTGTGTGGACCACACTGAGCATGGAGAAAAGAAAGAAGAGCAAAGAACTGACTGATGATTTGAGAACTACAAAAGCGGAAAAGCATGGACAGGCTCATGGCTCCAAGTCCAGAGATCTGGCTGTTCCTGTGTCTACTGTGCACAACATTGTTAAGACATTTACGGCACATGGCGCTGTAAGTAATCTCCCTGGACATGAACGAAAGAGAAAGATAGATGAGAGATTGTTTGAATGGTGGATAAAGAACCTGGATCAACTTCCAAACAAATTCAATCTGACCTGCAGGCACAGGGTGCAACAGTGTCAGCTCGCATCGTCTCCATCTGAATGACAAGGGACGCTATGGTAGGAAACACAGGGGGACCCCACTGCTGACACAAAGACATAGAAAAGCCAGAGTGGAGTTTGCCAAAACTTACCAGAGAAAGCCACAATCCTTCTGGGAGAATGTCCTGTGGACAGATGAGACTAAACTAGAGCTTTTTTGGACAAGCACATCATTCCACTGTTTTCAGAAAATAAAATGAGGCCTTCAAAGAAAAGAACATAGTCCCTACAGTCAAACATGATGGAGGTTCAATGATGTTTTGGGGCTGCGTTGCTGCTGGATGTCTTCATTGCGTGTATGGCATTATGAAATCTGAAGACTACCAGTGAATCCTGGGGTGCAATGTAAGGTTCAGTGTCAGAAAGCTGGGTCTCCGTCAGAGGTCATGGGTCTTACAGCAGTACAATGACTCAAAGCAGATTTTAAAAAGCTCCCAGAAATGGTTTCAGACAATGTGCTGAAGAGATCTGAAGTGGCCAGCAATGAGTCCAGATCTGAATCCCATAGATTGTGGAGAGATCTCAAAACAGCAGCTGGGAGAAGGAACCCTTCGAATCCGAGAGACCTGGAGCAGTTGGCAAAAGAAGAGTGGTCTAAAATTCCAGTAGAGAGGTGGAGGAAACTCATTGATGGTTACAAAAAGCGATTGATTTCAATTATTTTGTGCAAAGGGTGTGCTACCGAATATTAAGCTGAGGGTGTCAATAATTCTTTCCAGTCCATTTTTGGAGTTCTATGAGGAATGTAACGGATTTGGCTTTTTTCTGCTTTTTTGTGTTGTTTAAATGCAAACCAAGAAATAAACATGAAAATACCAAATAATTTGTGATCTATTTTCTGGGAGAAGTGGTGTGTTATCTGACAGAAATGCAGGGGTGACAGTGTTTTCCAGTATTTTTGTCCATGACTGTGTATATGTAGATACTGTACACAGTAGCATATACTGTAGTAGTGTGATACAGTAGATATGGTATTAACAAGTGTTTTGCACCACTTCTACTCCTTGTGCTTCTCCTCACACTCACACACACATCTTGTAAATATTTATTGCATAACTGAGACCTTGTATAACATCAACTGGCCCAGGGACTGTGGTTAAAAAAAAAACTTGCCTTTTAGCAAATCTGGCATATTTACATCATACTAATATATGTGTTCTTTTGCTGATTAAGGTTTTATAAATTCATAAATGAGATTTAATGAGTAAATCTGACAAAAGTAAAGTTAGTATTATTAACAAATACTTATTTAAATATTTGTTATATTTGCAGCCATGCACCTAAATCTCAGCAGTAGTGAAAGTTAAAGACACAAGCAGGGAATGTCGGACAGAGAGAACAGAGTCAAATCATCCAGTGGAACAGCCCTATGGTTTAAATATGAACCACATGTATAAGAGACAGAGAGTGCTGAGACAGCACTGTAATAAAGCACATGCACATAAACATACACTGTACATTGTCCCAGAGAACATCCATCCATACCTTTTTTCTTATGTTTTCATCTGTGTGTCTTCATGTTGTTGCAGTGTGGTGCCATCAAATTTGTGACATTTCTGTTTGTCCTTGAATGGCTCCTAGTAAATTAAAAAACACTTTTATGTATCCAAAGATCGTCCACAAACTTAAAAAAAACCTTTTTGCCTTGTTTTTTGTTTGTTTGTTTGTTTGTTTTTTAAATCAGTGTAGACTTGTCCGAAGACTTTGTGATATTGGATTTAAAATACCGCAGTTGATTCAGCTGACCCAGTAATACTAACTAACAAGTAGACAAATCATGAAAATCCCTGTCGGAATTAAAACTATTAGAATTAGCTATAGCTGTTGGTAACTACTATTACATCAAAAGCTGGAGAAAACAGTTTTAGTATTTATGCCAAAGCTGCCATTAAAGCCAAGCTCCTTCTGCTTAGAGCTTGGCAGGCAGGCGGCTGTCAAAGTGAGCGACACTTTTCAGTGTTTTTAGAGTTACAAACACAGAGTTGGTACAGGAGAGGCTGCGAGGTGAGGCAGCAAAGCGAAGCTGTTGTGAATATTTGTGTGCTGCAGCTCAGCTCACACTTTTCTGCTAAATCAAAAGGAATTGGGGAAGCGCAAACATGGCTGAGTTATGCTCTCTCATGGGGTTGGAGCTGGAATAGACTTTCTCTCTTGTTCTCGCTTTCCCTCTTCCAGCCTGTGAACTTGACCCCAGCTTTCTCTTCATAAACAATAACAGAGTCAAGTGCTTTCTTGTCAGTTGGACCAAAAGTTTGCCCTGATGTACGAGGCCCAATCTGGCAACTGTCTTTTCAGAGGAAAAGTACTGAAGTGGGGCTGCTATGTTTAAATGCTACGCTGGGGTGAGCGATAAAGATGAGATTTATAGAGGCTGGGTTTTGGACTAATCCAATTGATTTCTGTGTTGATACATTGTAATCACTCGGGATTATTTTTGAAAGGATCATTGCAGTTAGAAAAGGGAATGGGCTAAATGAACCAAGAGGCATATACTCTAAGTGGAAGAGTTGGACTAATGACTCAGTAATGTGTCCCCTGTGGGGATTGTGGTGTGGGCTGCTTCATGTCAGGCAGTCCAGGAGTGAGCTCATCATGTATTCCCATCCCCTGGCAGCCTGGAGCAAGGAGAACAACCTGTCGTCAGTCCTGGCTGAGTTCCCCTACTGATGGGACACAATGGGGTAAATTCATCACTGGGCCGTCGCTGAAGGAAATAAGATCAAGGGAGAGGTGGAGGGAGGGACTCAGACATAAAACGAGGTGAAATGAAGCCAATTATGGAAAAATGTGGAGTTTTACCATATCCAACATCATTTCCCAATACCAGCTCCAGCCTAAAGAACAAAATATTTTGTTCATGCCTCTGCAAGAACACATTTTCTGATCAGATGACAACATCATTTATCTGAGCTTTCTAAAAATGAAAAAAACTAATCAGTGTAAACATTCTGTAAATCAGTTTCATGATGTAACAAGCCTTTGGTTAAAGTTTGGTTATGTTTGTGTTCTGTTAAAGTGATTATGGTATGGCTATGATAATAAATACTTAAAGGATAAGGCCAGTCATTTTCTATATTAATATTATTTTCAACAATCTCCATAGAGAGACTAAAACCGACATATGGTTTGTTTAAGTTTAGGAGGCTCGAATTACTTGGTTAAACTCAGAAAAATGTTATGGTCATTATCAAAAGAAACCACAATTGACTAGTAATGGGAGACAGGGTGAGAACAGTGGTCTTTATTTACCCAGCCATCCACCACATCCTCCTCCCTACAGGTGTTTGCAATGCTAAAACGATGCCATGCCATTTCCATCTTTACTTCTCAGAGATAAGAGTCATTACCTGCATGACCACAAGAGGTTACTTGTGAGGAAAATGTGAACAGTCCTTTTTAAGTGTTGTGAGCAACAAACGCTGTCGTTTTCTGATGAGAACAAAGGTTATAATTTACATAGGGTGATTTATT